ATGAAAGTGTAGAGTGAGGGGCGCCTGGGTGGCTCAGTCGGTTAAGTGTCTGCCTTCAGCTCAGGTCATGATCCCAGGGTCCTGGGATTGAGCCCCGCATCAGGCTCCCTGCTCAGCAGGGAGTCTGCATCTCCCTCTCTCCTCGCGCACGTTCATGTGCGTGCTCTCTCTCTCTCTTTCTCTTTCTCTCAAATAAATAAAATCCTTAAAAAAAAAGTGTAGAGTTAATTACCCTAAGAAAAAGCTAAAGGAATTTAAAGTATTTGTCTCTGGGGGAGTTAGTAGGACTTCAGAAAGCGACTTGTCAGGGAACTGCTTTGATTTTTTACCACCTTTATAGAACTATTTGATTGAACAGCTTTGATTTAAAAATTTTAAGATGGGGGGGCGCCTGGGTGGCTCAGTCAGTTAAGCGTCTGCCTTTGGCTCAGGTCATGATCTCAGGGTCCTGCTATCGAGCCCCACATTGGGCTCCCTGCTCCGCGGGAAGCCTGCTTCTCCCTCTCCCACTCTTCCTGCTTGTGTTTCCACTCTCGCTGTCTCTCTCTGTCAAATAAATAAAATCTTTTTTTTTTTTTATTACTATGTTAGGTTAATCACCATACATTACATCATTAGTTTTTGATGTAGTGTTCCATGATTCATTGTTTGCGCGTAACACCCAGTGCTCCATGCAGAACGTGCCCTCCTTAATACCCACCACCAGGCCAACCCATCCCCCCACCCCCCTCCCCTCTAGAACCCTCAGTTTGTTTTTCAGAGTCCATCGTCTCTTATGGTTTGTCTCCCCCTCTGATTTTCCCCCCTTCATTCTTCCCCTCCTGCTATCTTCTTTTTTTTTTTTTTTTAACATATAATGTATTATTTGTTTCAGAGGTACAGGTCTGTGATTCAACAGTCTTACACATCTTAAAAAAAATTTTTTTTAAAGATGAATGGAAGAGTAAGTGGATAAAATGAGCTATAGGGACTTTCAAGGAGCTTGACTATGAAGGAAGATTTTTCCTTCACCCTCCACACCCAAAACTTGTCACTATCCTGATTTTTTCAGATACATCCCATCTTCTCCCACCGTGCCTTTAACTGGTCTGCTAACCTCCCTTAGTCTAGCCCTTCTCTGCACTATGACCAAAGTTGACCTTTTGAGTTCTCTGGTTAAAATTGTTCATTAGCGGGCGCCTGGGTGGCTCAGTTGGTTGAGCGACTGCCTTCGGCTCAAGTCATGATCCTGGAGTCCCGGGATCAAGTCCCGCATCGGGCTCCCTGCTCGGCAGGGAGTCTGCTTCTCCCTCTGGCCCTCCTCCTTCTCATGCTCTCTGTCTCTCATTCTCTCTCTAATAAATAAAATCTTTAAAAAAAAAAAATTGTTCATTAGCTATAAGATAAAATACACATTCTTTAACCGTGAGCTCTGATACTCGATGTGATCTGATCCCTGCCTGCAACCCCCCAGCCCCATCTTTCATACCTCAACCCAGCCATCCTGAGCTATGGGTGTCCCTAGAAGCTATAATTACTCTTTCTGTCCTTTCTAGCTTTGTATTCCCAGAACCCCAATCTCCCTCAGTTCACCTGACAAATCCTTCTTATTCCTGGGAATTGAGCCCAGTCTAACTTGACCACTACCACCCCCACCTATCCCTCCTCCACATTCACTAAGCTATGTTCTTCCTTTGTATTCCCATAACATGTATGCATCTGTATCACATTTATGACACTATATTTTCATTGCTTATTTGCTTCCCAGTCTGACTCTTTCCGTCTTTTGCCTCCTGTGGTTGAGCTCCTTGAATGCTGAGACAGTGGCTTTTTTTTTTTCTTCACCCTTAAATTTGTCATCTAGCAGGATTGATTCCAGGTTATAGTAGTTACTCAGTATGTGTCTAGGAGAGGGAGATGGGTAGGTGGATGGATTCATAAGTGAACATCTTATGTTTAAGAAAATTGAAGCTGGACTACATCTTGCTAACTGACAGCACTTAGTGTCCAATTGCAGTATTTTTCTTAGTTGATTGTAACCACTCAGGAGGGGACAGGTATCAAATATGATGCAAGTAATCAACTCTCAAAAATCAGGTGTAATGTGTGTTTATGTTTTCTAGAGGAAAAGGTACTGGTGGCAGCCTATGCTTAATTCCCTTTTTAATTCTATTCCTGAAAGAATAATAATGCATAACTAGGTCATATTAAAAATAAAAGACCAGGAAGTAGATTAATGGTTGCCAAAGGATGGGTGGAGGAAGGATGAGGAGTGATACAATGGCTATGGGGTTTCTGTTTGGGGCGATGAGCATGTCCTCAAATTAGACAGTGGCGATGGTTTGTACAATCGTGTGAATATACTGAAAACCACTGAATTAGACACTTTAAAATGGTGACTTTTATAGGATATGAATTATATCTCAAAAAAAAAAAAAAAGGAGATGTTCCAAATTAAAAGTTGAAGACATTTCAGAAGCTCTAAGTGATTGATTATCTAAATGGCTTTGACAGAAAATCAATTTCTAGCCCATCACAGGATATCTGAGTTTGTGTTAGTTAAATTAAGGAAGCACTCTGTGATTTGTAATTTTTCTGTCATTTGTTGCTGTTTACTCTAAATCCTTGAGCTACCAGACAAAATAAAACACTACCATTCAGGCATACTTTTTTCTTTTTTCACTTAAGGACAATTTTTTTGTCCTTTCTTGTTTCTCTCTTTCTCTTTCTTTCTTTGAAAGAAATGGCACTGAGTCAGCTACAGTCACCCAGTAAGGAGGAAATATTTTAATCTTGTACACACAGAATGTTCTTAATTTTATGAGACTGATGCGCTACCTACTGCGCTAATGAGGCACCTAGAATGTTCTTATTTTTAAAAGAAGAATGTTGCTTTAATTTTAAAATATAAAATTTAGGGGCACCTGGGTGTCTCAGTTGGTTAAACGGCTGCCTTTGGCTCAGGTCATGATCCCAAGATCCTGGGATTGAGCCCACCCTGTGTTGGGCTCCCTGCTCAGCAGGGAGTCTGCTTCTCCCTCTTCCTCTGCCTTCCCCCCCCCGCCATGCTCTCTCTCTCTCAAATAAATAAATAAAATCTTTTAAAAAATAAAATATAAAATGTAATGACCACAAGTAGTACTACTTAATTCATAGATAGTTGTAAAATGTGTTTGTCTAAATTCTAACCTTGTCTTTTGAGTCACTGGATTCATCTTTGCTTGTGAGGAACCAGGAGACCCAAGATTCCTTCAGTTAGAACTAAGCTTCTCCTATACCCCCATTCTCAGTTTGGCCTCATATGTCCTGTTGGTTGAACTTGTCACTCATCATGGTATAAGTTTGTTTTTTGTTCATCTATTTAACAAATATTTGTTGGTGCCTATGTGTTCCATCACTCACTCTTGTAGGCACTGGGCATACACTGTACTGAACAAGGCAGAAGTCCGTCCTTGTAGAGCTTTTGTTATAGATGGTGGACAGATTTTACTCCTTTTTTCTAAAAACTCACTTATTAATCATAGTTGAGGGATTAGAGCTTTTTGCTGGCTTTTTTTTTTTAAGGGAGGAGGAGAAGAAATACAACTCATCCTTCACACAATTTTATTTATTCACAAAAGCTTCCTCCTGTACAGAATTAAGTGCTTATTTCTGTGTTGTTCCTAAAACACATTATATAAGCCTCTGTTCTACTTCTAAAAAGCAGATCTGGTCATGTCACTCCCTTATTTTCCCTTCAGTGACTCCCCATTACTCTCAGGTTGAAGTTCAGACATAGCTTACAAGGGTTTTCAGAGTCAGTCTTCCATTGGACTTTTCAGTTCCTCTAACATGCCGTTTCCCTTTTAGTGAGCTTCCACACATGCTGTTTCATTTACCTAAAATAGTCCTCTCCCTACCCCTTTACTGTGGCTAACTGCTAATCTTTCAGGTTTCATCTTAGATAGCACTTTCTATGTTACACTTTACTTGACCAAACCCCCCAGCACAGTCCAGGGGTACCTTGTATTGCCATTAACCAAATACTCACACTACTTGCCATTGACCAGAGCCACCACTGGATAATATAGTCTTTGTCTTTCTCCTTTTGTTTTATTCCCCAGTTCCTAGTACAGTACATATTCAAACATGTTTTTCTGTTTCCTCTAATAGCCTGTGAAGACCTTGAGTTCAGACTGTGTGTGGTATATCGTAAGTGCTAAGCAGATGTTTCAGTGAATCAGTGAGTGAGTGATTGTATTGTTTGTCTTGGAGTATAGCAGAAAGGCTTGTGAACTGCGTCTCCCTCCCCCAGTCTCTTCATGTTCAGCATCATGCAAAGTCCCTGCTCTGTCTCTCCATCTGAGCTGAGTATAAGGGCTCGTTTGTGCTACTTTTCAGAAATTGAATCATACACTGAAAATTGTTAAGTAAAGCTGCAAAAGGTACGGTAATATTCAGCGCTCATCCGTAAATAGTAATGGCTTTAGATAGTTTGGAGTTTAAAACATGTTAAAAACAATTGTGTAAAGTAGACCTTATGGTGTATGTGTCAAGGCAAAGAAGAAGGGTTTTAAAGGAGTGAAGATAGATATGCCTGCAGACTAGGCCCTCGGCATCTCTCCTTCATAAAACTGACTGTGGAAGCACTGTGGATTGTGAAATCTGCAACTAAACCCACCAAATCTGAGCTACTGGGTTAAACTTTTTGATTTAATAGAATTTAGCTTGTACAACCTTATTAATGTTTTCTCTGAAAACCTTACCAGGGATTTTAATTGTAATTTTTTTCTTGAGTTAAAAAAAAAATTTTCCTTAAGTGTAAAAAGAAAAAAGTATGCCTGAATGGTAGTGTTTTGTCTGTTCATTTTTTTTCCTTTTATCTGTAAACACAATGACATTTTTATCTTACTTTTCTTTTCATTACCTGAATATGTTTTATCTGACTCTGTATAATGGACTTTTATCAATTACAGGAACCATTGATGAAAAATTCCGTATTCTAACTGGAGTTTTTGTTTGTATTTTTCTCTTGTACGTAGTTGTTGTGGAATTACAAGCTGAATCTAACTACAGACCCCAAATTTGAATCTGTGGCCAGAGAGGTTTGCAAATCCACCATATCAGAGGTAGGTTGTGAAAGAATTTTGTGGGTATTTAATGGCTTAGAAGAGAAAATTACATCTGTTCACCAGGCCAGTCATTAAGGGAGGAATGACTGACTCAGTTACTTTACTTTTCTTGGAATTCACATCTGTATTGGCTGAGAGAGAGGCCGAGGCAGCGGGGAGTGTAACCAGCCTCCTTTTTTGTAAACATTCACCTACATTGATCGTAGGATGCTGTTGATTCAGACACATTGGAAATCAGGCTCTGTTGGTCCCCAAACAGAGGACACAACTGCTTCTGTCATCAATGCCGTGCTCATACTTTTTGCAATCTGCTGATGTCTGAAGCTTATCAGAATGGTCTCCCCAGGAGGTCTATAAATGTTTCTGAGTTACGCAGTTGGTTCAATGGAACCACAGAGGCATATGCTTCAAGTAATAGGAGTTGCATTAAAAAGATTTGTGACAGGATTGTGTATGTTGTTATAGATAGATGTTGAGTATAAAAACAAAAATAATTAATGATAATGTATAGCATCGTGTGGATGTTAATTGGGGAGAATTTTCAATTATCTTGGTTCAATGTGAACAACAAAAAACACTAGTGAAAATTGTGGTTTTGAAATTTTTATTTTATTTTATTTTTGAGAATCAGAGATAGAAATTCCAAAAGGAGGCGCCTGGGTGACTCACTCGGTTAAGCGGCTGCTGTCAGCTCAGATCATGATCCCGGGATCCTGGGATCAATCCCCACGTCAGGCTCCCTGC